CCAATCATTCATTATTATTGATTATATTAAACCTTGGAACTTATATAATTACAATCCAGATGTTTTTCTTCTTGAGCGGTTCATGATTTACATTTAGATCCATATGGCAGAGAACGGAAATTACACAATTCTTTCAAGTTGGAAGTTTTGTTTACCTTAAAACAATATTAGAAACTATAGCTGTTAACTGAGCTCAAAAACTGCCCTCTTTTCTTGTATGTGACAAGTTTTTTCAGGTTGTGGGTGATCATTGTTCTCCACATCTTTCTGTGTTCTCTTGCTTTGGGTAATGTTTTTACTTTATCATCCCGACTCGAGTCATGTTTTAAATAGCCTTCTCAGATCTAGATTCTCATATGGATGTAAACATGACGCACAACTCGTACAGAAATGTCAAAACAAGCAGAAAGTATACAAGTGTTTTCTCAGATCAATAATTAAAAATGGCTTCACGCTAATGAATCCTGCGAGTCATAAAGTAGACTGCACTTCATCAGATCCTATGAATTGGTGTTACGGAATCAAAATTAGCATTAGGAAAAATATATCACTTATAACCTGCCGTATCAACTAAAATGGATAGCACACACAATTAGAAGGTGGGAAAATGATATATTCAAGGTGTTGACTTTCCGAACAAGTTCACACAAAAGGTCAGGAAGGAAACTTCTATGAATCATAGAAAGAGCGATAATTTTAGTTTTTCAAAAATTTTAACTTTAAGAAACGCTCATAATTTTAATATACAGTAAGCTAACTGAAAAGTCTCGGTAAATTATGGAGGATGCTAAGTGACATAATTTGATGTCTAATAAACAAAAGTTAATAAATGTTTTTTTTAAAGTAATAATGCAAATGATAATTATATTTTAAAGTAATAATGTAAATAATTATATTTTAGTTTAGCATTAATTTATGTATTTGAAATTATATGTTTTGAATTTAACTGTTTCCTTTTAATTTTTTTACATTTTTAAAATCACTTATTTTGGCTTTTGGGGAAAGGAGTAATTATTTCTGGAATCAACTTACCTATTTGTCTGAAAAACTGCTTCAACCGACAGTTGCACTGGCTGCTCGGTCAATAAATTCACACGGAACACACACACGCACGCACACACACGCGCTTGCGTACACACACACGCATACACACACACATATAAATATATATACAGTCAATAAATTAAAATAGGTTCAACAAACATCCTTAACTTATTTAATTACTATTGACACTCTAATTCTCGATTGGGCACTTTCTCGCAAAAATTCTTTCATCGAAATGTCTTAAATTCTACTCATTTTACATATTTTGATAGTTATTGTATATATATATATATATATATATATATATATATATGTGTGTGTGTGTGTGTGTGTGTGTGATAAATGTAGTTTTAAGGTTTTCTATATTTATGGGTTAAAGTGTTCCCTATGAGGGATAGAGCATATGTAAATATAAAAGTGGACATTGAAGTCAACACTCAGCGGCGACTGTCTGTTTCATTCTTAAACGCAATATTTAGGCCATGTGTGGTTTGTTTTGACTCAACTATTTATATATGCTGGTCAATGATGCATTATGGGTAAGAGGTCTTTTGTATTATTCGAACGGTTATTGGGTTGGCGATGACGGTTATATTTCAAATTACTCGCGAGGCGATTGTATGTGTATACCTATACGCTTAAGTGTGAATCCGAATGTAGTTTTGTGTCTGTTTTATAGTGGTTTTTGTTAACTTAATTTTCACATTATTTATTATTGATTATTATTTGTCGTTGATTTTTATTATTACGTTTATTTGTGGTTATGTGTACATTCGTAGATTTTTAATTTGTTTATCGTTTACTTAATTTGTTTACTTATTTTTACTTATCATTTTTTATTTTATTTTGTAATTATTTTTATAAAATTTATAATCTATTTATACCTTTTTAACTCATCATGGACATAGAAACATTTAACCTCGACTACTCGCAAAAAATACATACCCCTTCCACCACCACCACCACCACCACTATCCACCTACAAACTAAATTTAATAGAAAGCTTCTTGAAAAGAATTAGATGGAAATCACATTTCTTTTTAAACCAAGTACTTAGCATAAGCACAAACATAAGCATAGCTTTTAAAATAAAACAAAAAAAAATGTGCCCCTTCAACACAAAGAACTTGACAACCTCGAAAAAGATTTAACTTAGTAAGAAACATAAAATCTCATGATGCTTTTCAGAAAACTATCTAAAAGGAGATACAACTAAAATAGACAATTCATCTAACGTATTTATCGCAGCGGACAAAACTAGAAATTTATGAGAACTAAGCACCCCCCCCAAAGCGCAACAAACTACTCAAGGACAGCATAACCAAAAGATAGAGGAAAGTGCCAAAAAACTATATTAATATGGAGGCAAAAATGTCACCGAAACATTAGACTTAGACGACCGAATAAATTTCATCGCTAAATCACAAGCATTTATCACACTAAAAGACCACAAACAAAATTTCAGAAGAAACCCAACATGGAGACCCAACCAAAAGTGAACGAGATAAAGTAAGCAGAATGTTAGAAAGAATTAAATCAGAATTAAGGAAAAAGTTTGGAGAAAATCAGTGGAAAAAACACACAAACAACTATAGACTTTTTCCCCAACCTAAAAAGCAAACATAATTGCGAATTTATACAACTCGATATAAAAGAATTCTACCTTTCTATACAGAACACATGCTTGATAAGGCCATCTCTTTACATCAAGATCAAAAAAATAAAGACAAACAAATAAAAGTCATTAAACACTCCCGAAAATCACTATTATTCGACAACGAAGACGCTTGGATAAAGAAAGAAGGAACTTTTGACATTAAAATGAGAAGCTTTGATTGTGCATGTTCCTGTGAACTTATAGGTATACCTTTACTATACGAACTAAGTAGAATAATCGATAAAAATGATATAGACCTTTGCAGGAAACGAGGGTCTCATAATCTAAAAAACAGACAAAATCAAAAAACAAACAAAACCAGAAAAAGCAATCATAAAAACTTTAAAAAATATGGGACTCGACATAGACATAAAAACTAACCTAAAAGAAATCGATTTCCTTGAGGTCACCTTGAACCTAAGAAAAGATATATACTAACCTATAATTGCCAATTTATACAACAAGATATAAAAGATTTCTACCTTTTTTATAACAGGCCATCTCTTTAGCTCAAGAACAAATATAAAATAAACACAAATTGAGTAAAAATCATTAAACACTCCCGAAAATCACTATTATTCGACAAAGAAGACGCGTGGATAAAGAAAGAACATTGGACATAACAACAGGAAGCTTTTATGGCGCAAGAAACTTTAATCGTATAGGTATACACATACTACACGGACTAAGTGTATAAAAATCAATAAAAATGATATAGGCCTCGACAGGGATGACGGTTTTATTAATCTTAAGAAACGGTAACAAACAAAAAAACATAAAAATCAGAAAAATAATTATGAAAAAAAATAAAAACACTTTAAAAATATGGGATTCAGACGTAGATATAAAAACTAACCTAAAACAAGTAGATTCCCTAGATGTCAACTTTCACCTAAGATAATTTACATATCAACCATACAGAAAACCTAACAACAAACCACTTTATATTCACACATCTTCAAACCACGCGCTATCAATAACCAAGCAGATCCCACAATCAATTAACTGTAGATTATCTGTCAATTCTTCCAATGAAACCGTATTCAACGAAGCCAAGAAAGATTGTGAAACTGCCCTAAAATATAGTGGATTCCCAGCAACACTCACATACACACTACAAGCCACAAAAAAGTCAATAGGAAGAGAAACATCATATGCTTCAACCCACCGTACAACAAAAACGTAAAAAACAAACGTAGTAAAATATTGATTAACCTCCTACACAAACACTTCACTGCATCAAGCACTCTACACAAGATATTCAACAAAAAACACAGTAAAAATCAGCTACAGTTGCACCGAGAACGACACAAATAATAAAAAAGCGCAACAAGAATAATTATTAATATCTAAAAATATATTATGGCTTTAAATAACCTGTAAGGAGTTGATAAGCCGTAAAAAACGAATCAATGAATCGCCCAATCAGACCACTAGTGGAACTTATATATGCAATCAATCGTTGAAGATGATAGAAAATGGTCGGTTCGCACCCCCCCACAAGTAAGTATCTGACTCCTCCTGCTATGATCTATCTTTACAAGGCTAAAAATGTACTACTGCCATATTTGGACTAGAACTAACCAGTCCTCACTTTCCAGTCTTGATAGAGTTTTTAAGTGCAATTTATGAGCTCATGTAAGAAAGATAACGGATAATCCTAGACTCGGAGAAGTTAAGATCAGGAAAACATTCCCTCGGGAGTCTGTTCCACAATGTAGTCGTTTTTGGGAAAAGATGTCTAAGTGGAACTTCCTACATACTGATGAAATATAAATGGAATGGGACTGATTCTCCATGGAAATAACGATAGGGTAGGAAGAGGCCTGCGACGTTTTATCTGTGCAAAAGGCGTGGAAAATAATTCATTACCCATAAGATCGTGTATGCGCACATGTGTATGTGCGCACATGTGTGTGTGTGCGCATGTGTGTGAATAAACATTGCGTTTTATATTTGTGCCTGCCTAAACTTAACATTAAACATACAATCACGGTATTAAAAATATATTATTGGGTACTAATAAAAATATATTATTGGGTACTAATAAAAATATATTATTGGGTACTAATAAAAATATATTATTGGGTACTAATAATATATCATGATCAACGATAATTGGTGAGCCAACGAAAGAAAGGTTAATTCTCCCGGTTTTTTTTTTACTTTTCCCGCGTTATGGGCATAATTATATATTTTTCGTCGATAGCGACGGTCGGCAGTTGAAAATAAGTTATCTTAAAACACAGCGCCGCTTATGGCTAAAACAACTAATGTGTGATCGGCACGGTTTTTGACAATGGCCACAATAGTTGAATACTGTAAAGTCATCCACCGTGGGGCATTTGCGTCCTTGTCTAGCTTCTACGGCGCACTGGACTCTATTCTCTTCCTGACTTTTTGCCTGCGCGAAAACAGCAGCTCTCCATCCGACTCGATCCCATGCAACCACATCCCAGTTCGCAGCATTGATAGAAAATTCCATCATGGACATTTTACACTGGTCCTTGAAGCGAAGGTTGAGTCGTCCAGCGTTACACGTACCATCATACAGCTTCCTATAGAGTATCTATTTGGGTATACTGGAGTTATCCATGCACGCAACGTTGTCCAAGGCACTAAGATAGTGGAGTAGTTCTATGGTTGCCTTCACCACACACATATCTTATTCTCGTATCTTAAATCTTATTCTCGTATCTTAAATCTTATTTTCGTATCTTAAAATCTTATTCTCGTGTCTTAAATCTTATTCCCGTATCTTAAAATCTTATGCAGTATCGGGATTGAATGCCATCTCTTTTGAGCACTCTTGTATACGGGACCTATCTTATTAATTTAATTTTTAAAATATTTCTTAAAAAAATCTCATCTGAAAACTATTTAATCCCCTCTCCTGACCAGCATACAAGCTCCACATCTCACTCCCATAAAGGAGTGTTGAGAGAATATATATTTGGTAAATTAGGGTCATGGTTTTTAGCCCAAGTTAATCACTTTCCCATACTCTTTACATAAGTTCCTTGAATGCAGCTGAGGCGTTTCCTATATTATATCCATGATATAACAACACCTTATTTCAAGGACGGAAGGGAATACATGTAAGAAAAGAAATGACAAACATGTTTTGTTCTCAGAATGAGTTTTATGCCGCTCAGTCATACACAAAATTATATATATATACTTACATATTTACCCATACGGAGAAATTATAACATGTATACAACAACAAGCAGAGTGAAAAGGACGAAAAGATAGGGTCTTACGTATAATAATTCTCAACGGGAACTGGAGCTACCGGAGATTCCTGTGTTTCTCGAGAAGACATATTTAGGAGTCCAGATTCGAGCGGACCGGGTTTATCTGATATGTCAATATCGAGGACATATTCGGGAAAAGACGAGTTCTGGGCTTTATCCAACTTGAGAAATGTGGAGATCCCCGGCTAAAAAAGGAACTGCTCGGTTTTGCTCCTGGAAACTGACTGAAGAACTACTACTGTCATCATTCTATGAAGTGACCTGACTAAGCGGCCGTTACGTGACTCACGTGACTTCGTCTCGACAAAAGGAATATCATCGCCTTTTGTATTCATACAATATCTTATAAGTACTTTTACAGGTTTGATTTGGTCGACGAAGTTATAATTTCCTAAGCCTAGAAATACATTCCGTTTGACATGTTTTGTCTAAGGATTTTTTCAAATTGATTTGTAAGCAAACTTGTTGTGTAGACACATTCTGCTTGGCCTTAATTAAAGGTAGTGAATTATTAAACAGTTACTTTAATGAATTCACGCTCTTATTCAAAGTTGAAGTTTTTCGTTTCTGACGAGAAAATCTAGTTGTAACTGAATTTTCCGTTATTACCAGTTTAGGTAATAATTTTCAACTAAAAGCAATACTATTGACATAATTTGGATCTTCGACATGTTTGGACCAGTGGAGAATAATGTTTTCTGAGTTTAGCAATCAGTGTTTTTCCGATTCATTCATTTTTATTTTCTCTGTTTGTAGGCTATTTTCTTTCTTCACATTCAATGTCACAAAAGAAAGCAAATGTCTGCATTTTAATGGACTTCTTTCATATATCTCTTCTGTTTCTTTTAAAAACCTGAATTGATACTTGATACCCTCTGTTTTTGACCATTGTTTGTTTATTTCTATTTCTTTCTTTGTAGATTATCCCCACCTCTGTTTATAATGTTTTCTTTTTTCCCACATTTCAGCAAATAAATTCTTCTTTTCTTGAAATCTAAATTTATTTTTCTTCATATTTTTATCGTTTGAATTTTTATTAGTCCGTTTGTTTAATTTCTTTGTTTCAACGTATTTATTTTTGATCTACTAATTTTTCTCTATTCTTACTTTCTTTCGAAGAATCCTTTTTACATTAAATATATTTTCTTTTTTTCTTTCATTCCTTTATTCTCTTTCTTTTTTAAGCATTTACTGTTTCCATCTCTTCCAGATATTCTTCGTTCTCTTTTTCTTTTCCCTTTCTTCTTCATTTTGTTATATCTTTGTCATTTTCTTTTTTCTTTCATTCCTTTATTCTCTTTCTTTAAGTATTTTCTGTTCTCATCTCCTCCAGATATTCGTCGTTCTCTTTTCTTTTATTCTTGATTTTCTTCTTTCTTTCTCTTTTTCTTTTTTCTTTCATTCCTTTATTCTCGTTCATTCTGTAAGCATTTTCTGTTCTCATCTCTTCCAGATATTCTTCGTTTTCTTTTTCTTTTCCTTCTTGATTTTCTTCTTATTGTTCTCTTTTTCTTTTTTCTCTTTTTCTTTTTTCTTTTTTTTAATTTATTTTCCTTTCATTTCCTTCTGTCCCTATCTTTTGCTGGACTCAAACATAACTTTTTTCTTCATACTTTCTATATAACACTTCCTTCCTTTTACGTTTTTAATAGAATCACATTTACCTGATTGTTCATTTATTTTGTGCTTGTTATATCCTTCCTTCCTTCCTTCCTCAAACTTCCCCAATTTATGACCTGCTTTCTCTGTCACTTTTCATTAAAACCTTTGTTTCACCCGCTTCACTTCCTTCAACAAACAATCGAAGCTTCCTCAGCTACACTAGTGAACTGACACAGAACGGAAGTTGCTACTTGTCAGTGTCGACGTTCTGTGCAACCGTGACTAATTTCACGGTCACGTGATCCAACTGATGGAAGTTAGCCTTTCTCCTAAGTTCTGCCGCCCTTTGCATGACTGCACGCTTGCCCGACTGACATTCGTTTCGTTCTGACATAAGCACTTTACTCGACCAAAGCAACGACCTCCATTTTTGCTGAATGATAGCAAAATCAAAATATGGGACGCCTTTTCTCTTTGCTTTTGAATGGAATTCTTTGCTATTTTCTCTTATTTTGTCATGTTTAATTTTTCATATTTTTTATTTGTATTTTTCTCTTTCATCTTTCGACTTTTCTTTCTGAATTTCTTTCTTTCAAAATTTTCTTTTAATTTTTGGTACAATTTATTTATTTATTCTTTCTTTCTCTGAAAAATCCTTTTTATTTTTTATATAATTTTCATTCTTTCTTTTATCCTCATTTTTCTTTCTTTCTGATTGTATTTCCTTTCTTTTCTATTCTTTTCCCGCCACTAATAACGGAACACGACCATCTTAATCTTATACTAAGTGACACTGTTCTCTACGAGATATGCTATTTGTCCGCCACAATGTAATGTACTTTCAGTCACGTGATTATGTCGACCATATCGAGCGATCTCTTGTTCTTCATTGTGGCTTTAAAAGTTAATTGTCGGATTTTTCCGTTTCTCCGCAGTCGATTTGAATAGTTTAGATGTGACGTCCATGCAATTATTTGGAATGAAACGATCGCTTTAAAAAGTAAGCCAAAAAGGCATACTATTCGTTCTTAAAGCATATAATATTACCGAACCTTTGCTCGTGTATCGATTATGTCTCTTGTTTGGTCTATAAAACACTGAAAAGATGTTGAAACAACGGGATTGTAATATTTTTAAAAAAAGAAGAAAAAGACGAAGGAAAAGAAGATAAAGAAAAAAGAAAACGAAGAAAGAGAAGAAAATGATAACGGAAGAAGAAATAAAGGAAAAAGTAGAAGCAGGAGAAGATGAAAGGACATAAGTTGGAGAACGGTTTGTTCAATCAAAATGTAGAAGTTAAAATGTGAATAGAAAAAGGACATTAACAAAATATCGCGTCAAATAAGAAAGACGAAAAGAAAAGACATTATCGGAAATAAATGAAGAAGAAAGTAAAGAAAATAGATGAGGAGAAAAAGTTGGAAGAAAAAGAAAACAATAGGAAAGAACTCTAAAAGACAAAAGAGAAAGAAGAGGAAGAAAAAGAAAATGGAAATAAATGGGCAAGTGTATAGAACGTGAAAATAAAGGCATGTTGGAATTTATGAGAAAAAAGAAAAGGAAAAATAAAAGATGTAAAAGAAGAAGGGAAATAGAAAAGAAATTGAGAAGAACGTGAAAAATGTTTGTTGTTATGTAAAAGGAGAGAAAAAAATCAATGGAATACTAAAACAAATAGTAAAATAGTAAATTGGAATAACTTTGAAATATTTGTTAGATTAAAAGTACTTGTTGTGGTACGATCCACCTAATTTACAAAGTGGAGTACCGACCATATAAAGATGGTTGGTACCGGGAAGACGGGGGAGGAAGAAGAGATCCAATCCAGAGACTCTGCCCGACTGCGACTAAGTCAACCCATTCTACAGGAACGGTCTTCCCAAGAATATACCAAACTCTCTGTAAATATTGTGTATACTTTCTTTGTTCAATACATTTTGTTTAAGTACATTTTGTGTTGTATTATTATTATTATTATTCCATGCTTTATTCAAGTTTCAACAGTACTTGAACGTTCTCGAGGAATATGTTGTCTATTGTGATGGTTTGGTTTGGTTTGTCTTATGGCATATCGACACCTCAATGGGTTATTTAATGCCGAAAAGATTTTTATTGCTGGTAATATTTTTTCTTTCAAAAATGTATTGCCGGTACACTATTTACATTATTCGGACTATTGTCCTTATCTTTGTCGCCATATTTATTACAACGTTTCGGCCGTTGCACGCTCCGGCCTTCTTCAGGTGGTTGGAATGTCGAACTGAACCCAAGGACACATGCCACAGTGGATAAAGGCGTTGGTTAGATCCAGTGATATGACTCAAAGAGTGTGAGTTCAATAACCGGTGAAGGTGAAGAACTTTCAGAGGGAAATTAACAGGAGATAACTGATAACTGACATCCATCAATCATGGCACGTGGAACTAGAACAGTCTACCCCAGTGAGCAAAGTAAGGGGTTCAGTTCGACATTCCAACCACCCGAAGAAGGCCGGAGCGTACAACGGCCGAAACGTTGTAATAAATATGGCGACAAAGATGAGGACAATTGTCCGAATAATGTAAATAAGATACTGTATTGCTGATATTATTTCGTTTTTTTTCAAAAATGTATTGCCGGTATTAATTTTTTCTTTCAAAAACTCATTGCTGTAATAATTTTTTACAAAAATGTATTCCTGGTACTAATACCTATTTTTACACTTTCATAGTGTTTTGACCCAGTTTGGGGTTAACTATTTGCCCATAGCTGGGATCCTAACAGGTGCTACCACCTCGGTTCAGGGTTGACCTGGAAACACCAGCAATTAAGAGGTGGTTCCATGCTGCTCAAACCTTGCTGTTGAATGTAGTTTGTCGTCTTGCCTAGGACGCGGATGTAGTTTATCGTCTTACCCAGAACGCGGATGTAGTTTATCGTCTTACCCAGGACGCGGATGTAGTTTATCGTCATACCCAGGACGGAAAAAGAAGAAGAGAAACGGGAAAGAAATTGAGAAGAACGTGAAAAATGTTTGTTGTTATGTAAAAGGAGGAAAAAAAGAAAGAAAAGAAAACTGAAAAGGAAAAAAAAAAGGAAAAGGATAATAGAAAAGAAAGAAAAAAAAAAGGATAAAAAGATGAAAGAATAAAATAATAAGAAAAATGAAGAAACAGCCGAAGGAGAAGGAGAAAAGAACGATCAATTAAAATGGTGGCAGTAAAAGAAAAATGAGAGAGAGAAAGTGAGAGAGAAAAATCATTGGTGACAGCGAAAAAGAAGAAAAAAAAAGAGAGAAAGCATTGTTGACAGCGAAAAAGAAGAAGTTGAAAGATAGATAGATAGATAGATAGATAGATAGATAGATAGAGAGAGAGAGAGAGAGAGAGAGGGAAGAAGAAAGGAAAAATATAGAAAAGAAAATTTATGTTATAAAAAAGAATTCTCTGTTTCTTTTAGAGAATTAAAACTTTAAAAGAAAAATAAAGAGGGAATGCAAGCATGGGAGAGAAAAAGGAATAAAGGAGAGAGAGAGAGAGAGAAAAGGAAGATAGAAGAAGAAGAAGAAGAAGAAGAAGAAGAAGAAGAAGAAGAAGAAGAAGGAGGAGGAGGAGGAGGAAAGAAAACGTTTTTTTTTGTGTTTGAAGAAACGAATTCTCTGACATGTCGTTTGATTAGCGAATTGGGACAGTAAAAGAAAAAAGAGAGTGGAAGAGCATAGGAGACAGAGAGAAAGAAGAAAAGAGAGAGAAAGAGAGAGAGAGAGAGAGAAGAGAAGAAGAGATGTAGGAAGTAAGGAATGATGTAGGGAAGAAAATATGTTTAAAAAAAAAGAAGGAATTCTCTGATATAGTGATTTTCTAAGCCCGGCTTAGATGTGGCACAAAGCCGAAAGTATGGGGTACCCAGTGAGGATCGAATTGACTACACAGTCGTAATTGATCTAGCAAGACAAGCTTTACTAACCATTACACCGCCTCGAGGTGCCCAAGAATTCTCTGATATATCGTTGTTTTTTTTAAAGAATTAGAACCGTGAGAGAAAAATATAGAGAGAAGGGATGAGAGAAAGAGAGAAACAGAATAAAAATGAGAAGTGGATATTATTATTAGTATTGATATTATTATTATTATTATTATTATTAGTAGTAGTAGTAGTAGTAGTAGAAGAAGAAGAGGATAAATTAATAAAGGAGGAATGAAAGTTAGAGAAGAAGAAAGAAATAGTCGTTGAAAACGATATCAGTCCTATTTTGCCGTTTGAATTTCATGTTTAATCAATTTAGTGTCGATAAGATTATTTTTCCAGCAGGCGTGTACAGTTTTATTATAAATACGTAGGGAGAAGAAAGTTAATAAAGAAAAAAAAACCACATGTAGTTCTATCGAGCAACAGAGAAGAATCTCTAAGCTAACTGCACTCATGATCTAGGAGATCCTCGTGATGACACAAAGGGTCGTTCGTGACATCTTTGAAGTAAGAAGAATTATTTGGAGACGCGCATCTCCTTTTCAAGTATCCTGCCGTGTGCAGTTCTGGGTTACAAAGTGCCAGTGTCAGGGAAGTATTCAGACTCCAAAGAGAACTAGCATCATAGTGTACCAATAATGTCAGGGTCAAGATTACTAGCAACAAAGCAAAGCACGAAGTTGCTTTAGTGCCTTTCTTAAGACAACTAGCCTATATTGGCATATACGCACGGAGAAGAAAATGGAGCCAAGAATTTATCTCCTTATTTCAGCTGATCGTAGAGTAGAACTGAAAGAATGTGAAATGTTGAAAAATATTCGAACTTTGCAAAAGGATTGAAAACAAATTTGAGACATGAAGGTGGCAGTTCCATCTGTCATTTTTGGATCTCTTCAAATAGATCTGAAAGCTCTGGTAAGAGTCTGAAGGAATGGAAAACCTCCAAAAGAAAGCAATCCAGACGGCAGCATTATTAAATTCTTGCTTTGGAGTCAGCTTCTTTTAACTTGGCGTATTTTTCGGAACTTTATCATAAAGGCAAATTTTAGAAATGACAGATATATAAACGTTTAA